GTCTTTTCAACAACATTAAACATGCAGCCGATAATATGTTTATATAATCTTTGTCAAAACAAGCGGGGTTCGGGTTCCGATCGATTTATGACATTAGGCTGTGTGAGCTTAATGGTCACCCCAAAGGCGCTGGTCTGACTAAGATGGTCGTGTTCTGATAGCAGAAAAGAGATATTGAATTCTATAAATTCTCTGCACAAGCGAAGATTGGTCTAGTCGATGTAAGGAAGAGGCAGGTAGCTTTTGAAGATTGCGTATTACTAAAAGGTGGTGGCCAAGCAAATTTGAACGTCTCGCCCACGGTAAGTAGAGAAGTTGAGACGTCCAGTATAGCTCCATTAGTACCGGTTCACATCATAATCCCAGCAGTGCAAAAGGAAGGATCTGAGGATAAGGCACAACAAGCCCTTGAATCGGTTGACTTTGGATCTAGTGTAGTTGACTTCACCCAAACCAACCATTTCGTTATCCTCATCCGGTAACTCGTTGGCCCTCACTGGAGTGCAGGCTCAGCTGGAAGATTAAACCGTGCCTGTTAAGAAGAATTCTCCAGCAGCAAACGAAGCGACGAAGAACTCAAGGAGTAAATTGACAACTGCATGTCGTATGTCTATTAGTAATGATGATATGTACCAGGAAATTACTTCGGAAATAATAACAAACCAGGCAATCGATCTCTCATTCAAAGAAAACGTTAGTGTTTTTGATTCCTTGAAGGCGACCGACAATATCAAAGCTATCCATAGGCTGGAAGTCCCTGCTAGCTTAAGTTTTGCCGCTGTGGCAAGGACGTCTCCATCCAAGTCACCTTGGCCGCAACACTGGAATATAAAGTAAATAGTAAAAATAAATTTAAATCAACCCCTTTTAATTCGGGTGAGTTGTACATGCTTGGCAGTCATTAATTCCCCACCCGTGAACTTTTGTGTTGCTGATGACGTTTGTTTGAAGACAGTACCTCCTAGGAAGACAATTCTTTTGTCAAGGCAAAAACCCCATCTGTAGGTTTCGGTTACAAAAAACTAAAAGCTTTTTTGCGGCCATTAACATAACATTCATCTATCAAAATGTTAGCGCCTCCCTCAACTCAAAGATTCGCTCAATTTTCTTATATTCAGTTTGCACCGATTTCTCTTGTTTGGTCTTTACTGAAACATGGTTAAAGCCTGACTTATTTTTATCTGAACTTTTTCATAATTTGTTGCAGGTATTGAGAAAAGATAAATTAGATCGCATAGGGGTTGGGATACTAATTGCTGTGTCAGCTTCAGTCCCGTGCTAATTAAGCTTTTCTCTTACTACTTCTGACATTGAATTTGCCGCCATTCGGATGATACTAGCAAATAAACAGTTTTACATAACTTGCTCTTATGTTTCCCCAAATGCTAATATTTCAATCTATGTGACACATGCTGCCCTCTTCAGAGGGGTTGTCGATAAGTCTAAACATACGGATATAATCGTTGTGTTGGGAGACTTCATTATGCCACAAGTAATTTGTGGTTATTGTGAATACTCCGGCTGTATGGTACGACAGCTGATAGAGCTACACTGTGTCCTAATGAACTATTTGATAGCAATTTATTGCAATATAATCGTTTATAGAATTGTAACGGCAGACTATTAGACCTGTGTTTCCCAATGTCCTGGAGATATCTGTGTCTTCTTTCAGCTTGCCTCAAGATTCACATCATCCAGCTTTAAGTATAACTCTTCACAATTGACAGGATCGACCGTGGGTCTATTCCACGGATCGAAATCCATCTTTAACAAATAATCACTATGATTTTAAGAAAACTGACATCTTATTGCTGAAATCTCTTCTTTCTCATAGTAAGCTTGATTTCTCCGTAGGAAATATTGATACTGTAATGTTAGCGTTTTATAAAGACTTAAGCATTGCTGTTCCTGCGGCTGTATCAGTCAACAATCTATGACCTCGAAGCAGGCGTCCTCCATGCTTTAATAGTCCAATCAAATATCACAAAAATAGGAAGAACAGACTTTTTAAACAATAAAAGTGGTTCCGCTTACTTACATTACTGCAAGAAATATATTCAAATATCTCAACCACCTATTTTACCATAGATACCTACACTTTATAAAATCCGCATTCCTCGTTAACCCTAAACTATGCTTTAAGGTTGAGAATTTCAAAAGAACTCTCTATATATCCCTCCTAAGTTTCTTACAATGGTTTGGTCTCTGCTGATGGGATTGAGACCACAAACCTGTTTGCTGATTATTTCTGTTGCAACTGATAAGTTTGATCCAAGTTTACACTACCCTTATCCGATAACCCGGTGTTGATTTCCAAGTTGGCAATTTTTGCAAATAACATATTAGAGGGGCTGAGCTCTCTAACGTATAGATGTGCGCCAGGACCTGGGAGGATTCCATCGTGTATTCTTAAATCATGCTCCGCTGAGCTAAGTGGTGTAACTTCAAAGGTTTTTAATTCGTGCTTGAAGCTAAGTGCTTTCCCATTATATTGCAAAAAAAAGCTTTCTTATTCCAATTCATGAAATTGGAAACAGGCACCAAGTACAGAACTGTGGCATTTCCAAATTGTTTGAGTGTATAGTCACTCAGCATCTAGATTTTGCCATCAAATCATATATTTCTCTTTTCCAGCATGGGTTTCGGAAAGGAAGGTCTTGAATCTATAAGAGTTCACTTGCCAGGTGTCAAAGGCTTTTACTGGTGGCGCTTGCGCGGACGTTATATACGTTATATACATTTGACCTGGTTAACTATAACTTACTGATTTTTAAACTCCAGGCGTCGGGCTTTCCTGCCCATTTATCGAAATAATAAGTTCTTATCTAAAAAATAGATCATTAAGCATTCTGTTTAACAGCATTTCCTCGGGTGAAATCCCTTTGACGTCGGGTGATGATGTTAAGCTTTTTAATACATTTTCCTCGGATTTGGGTTCGCGTCAACTTCCAAATGGTGTATATAATTTGGTCGCATGGTGCTCGGTAAATTTTATGAAACTAAGTCTAAATAAATGCAAGTAAATGTCGCTCTCGAGAAGGTCGTCATAATTCGGTGTATTTCATTGATTCTCACAAGTTAGAAGAAATTAAGCACATGGATTTAGAGGTGCTATTTGATCAAATATTACGTTTTAATTTAATTTAACAATGTTCCCAATCGCCCTTCTAGGTACTTTATATTTATTGAGCTTAGTCAGTGTGAATACAACTACGAGCTGTTTTACCCGCTCAGTGATGGTAAAAAGTAACGTAAGTAAACCGGAACTACTGATTAAAAATCGTTCATCTATTTATCGATAGATTTAGCCACGGCCCACGCGAGACGAACCTTACCCGGTTTATTTGTATTAAAAGCCACGAAGACTGGAAAGTACCATATGCGGCCAGCGTGTAGTCCAAGACCTTTCCACCGTAAGGAGTAGTTTTTTTACTTATGTCTGCATAGTTTGGAGTCTTTTTCGAATTTCTTTTGGGGATACTTCAAATTATGTAACTGAAGATGATGTCAACTTTCGAACGACAACGCGGAATCACCTTTTCATCGAATACTACTTTTAAATTGTCAATTTTCCTTTATAGTGGTGCCTTTTCATGGCTTTTTCTTTCTCGTCTAATAAGACTGTTCTTTCTTGAGGGTCTTCCAGGTGAAAATATTATGTATTCACTTCATTATGTGGTGTTTTGTAACAAGTTCGCGTTCACATATACCGACATTTAAGGGAATTGAGCTTATCTCCTACCCTGCAGAGTCCATCTTAAACGAATTTTTATAAAGATCGATTAATTGCATCCATATGACAATCTTTTAAGACTTTGACGATGTCATTAAAATTTAAACATTGCGTGGGTGGTTCGAAAATATTGTAGTGGGGGAGATTCATTTTGAACACTCAATACTGCAGCATTAATATTGAGTGATTCAATTTCTGACCGTATTGCATCACCAGCCCAACGTACTTCTAGAGTTCCTTCTTTACCTCTCAGTTCGAACTTGTTCCATTAAAATTATCGACGATTTTTCCCCTAAAGCCGCAAACATGTCCAAAGAGCAACCATTGCAGGAATTGCCCAGAGCCTGAAGCATGGCCTTCCTTGATAACTATTATTATGTGTATTTATACTTCGGATTTTACAGATCTCATTTTTGAGAAAATGTCACACCGTTTTGCTCATGTTGCTTGACTTAGCTGGCAGCAACTGCTGTTGCTTATATCCAGCCACTCAAACTTTCATGATTGATACCTTTACGTCTTTACATGCTTAGTCCAATGTAGCTTTTGATTACTTGGTAATTTAGCGACTAAAGTTTTCACTTTCATAGGATTATCAAATTTGGTCACCATACTACACTCATCGAGAAAACATTTCGTACAGGCGGAGCATGTTCGATAATACCCTCCAGTCAGTCTGTCAAAGAAGGAATTTCATCCCTTTCTTTATCTTTCGGTAGGGACTACGCTCTGGGCGATTAAAACTCGTCCATTGCATTTGTGTAATGTCACCTGTCATTTAGGGAATCATGAATTTGCTCTTCACTAATTGTTTAGCACGACCGCGAAATCATGGTTGTAAACTTATTGAGTTTTTGCCGTCACAGTAATCGAATATCCCGGTTCTATTTTTATAATTCCTGATGAACACCGGACAGTTCTCAAATTTTGGCAGTGCCTTGGATAATACCCGGTAATAACGTTCCACGTTGTTGGTTGAAGCGAAGAAGAACTGTTTGTAAAAGAATATTTGTCTTGCATCACCATGCGATGAAATTTTTTGCTTTTTTTCCAAATGCGACCGATGAAATTATATTTTTTTCTTCTAACGTAAGAACTTGCAACTGTGTTTGTTTAAAATGTATGTAAGCATATTTGAGCTGATGGTGTGAGGAAAATGGCGTTGAATGTACTTGTCGTTGTTGTTGTCAGCGATGGGATATTGCTGAGGCCACTAATGTTTAAGAAATTTTGTTGTGCTAGTATAAAAGCCACTCGCCAACAATCGTTCGACTTTGTTGTGCAGGCGGTCTCAAAGGTACGGGATTGCTTACGTTACTTCCAATCGATTGATTACTTGGTGACGAGGTGATTTGTATATCGATAGAAATATGGTGCTGTCAATACACGGCAATTGTTGACTCACTTTTGACGTGTTCCTTAAGGCTACTTATTGACCAAAACAACTTGAGCAAATCCAAATTATATTAGCAGATTGTAACACTTGTTAATTTTGCAATCCTGTAGTGGTGTATTAACTTCGATCGCGACATTTTGCGGTCATAAAGAATGAAGTTCGTGACGCGTGAGATTTTCTTGGGTTTTTTGAGAAATCAATTTGGCCAATCTGGCTTCGATCGGTTGTGTTTCCTATAAGAAAGGGAAAAATATATCAAGAATCATTTTTAAAACTGGAGATTCTAGTAAAACTTTATGTATAAAAGTTTCGTTACGCCGCAGTTAATTTGCATAATTTGGAATTAAATTGCTTTTGCATTAGCCTATTAAATAATTAAATACTGTTTTGAATACAATCAATTGTAATGGAAACTATCAAGCAACTAAATTGCATTAAAGTTTAAGAAAAAGTGTTGCTTTCATACACAATTGCAGTAAATTTAAATACTGAAGTACCTATATTAAGTCATGTTAGTAAATTATGTACTGTAAGGAAGCGCTTTGCTTCCTTACGGAATACAGGTCCGTCCGCTTAAATGTCTACCATTAGACCATAGTAACATTTAGTCCGGTTCCTCCGTCCGCGCGAAAAACGAAATACCTCTCGGTAGGGCACACGATCATCCGCCTCTGGCCCTAACGCAATGTAAGTAACCATGGTAACTGCATAAACCTCACAAAAATGTATTACAGACACATGTAACATAAACCTCACACCAATATATTACAAACACTTGTAGCCTAAACTTTATACCAATACATTGCAAATACATGTAACATAAAGCTCACGCAATTATATTACCAACACTTGTAGCATAAACATTATACAAGTAGAGTACAAACACATATAGCATAAGTCACCAAATAAGTGATATCAAAACTACAAAACCAATCAAACCATGTAAATATGTATGTACAATTGGAAAACGTAGGTAACATCTGCAACCTTATATAAATATATTTGAAAAAAATCACATACATAACTGTATAGTAACATAGGATAGACACACATAACATGTAGGGAAAAAAAAATGTATTTTCATACAAGTCGGAGCTGAGGTTGCGGCAGAGAGTTTGTCAAACACATGTAAACGCATATAGCCGAGAGCATGCATGTAAAGGAACAGCGAGCGTGAATGCGACTATAAAAGAGCGTGCCCCATCACACTCAGTCTTTCGATTGTGTCATAGGCGCCTGAGGTAAGTGTTCACGGACTACTTGGTAAGCTGATTTTTATTAATAGTTTTTTTGACTTTACGGATAGGGGATGAGCTGGCTTAGCTGTTATTCGCCATCCCTGTAGGACTGAGTAATATTTTTTTCTAGACATTAACCAACTAGGGACAAACCGGTGGCCCAGAGGGGCAAGGCTGCTATTACACTGGCAACGTATCCGCTTTTTGTAGTAATCCGCGATATCGGAAGGAAAAAAGAATCTCTAACCACGTGTGCGAAAAATCGTTAATAAAAGTTACAAGAGGAAGTCGGGTCACCTCGCTGGTTTCCTCCTATCTCTCTACAAATTGCTTGTAATCTCTTATACAAAAATAAAAGCAACATAAGGTCACACCCGAAGGTCCGAAACATTTTGTTTTCTTATAAATTGTCTTGCAAAGAGTCCTCGAGTGGCTGAGTTTACCCTGACCAAGAAGACTCGTTACAGTACATACTCTTGTGAATACACAAAGAGCACCTCCTGCATCCTGAGAATAAAATCAAAGATTTATTTCGAGATACATAAGAAGAAAATTCAAAGTAATTACTTTTATTTTGAAATATATACATATATATTATGCTTTTTAACCAGGCCTTCTTTCGTTTGCGTTGAGGAGTAATTTCCCTATTCCAATTGACATATGTGTATCGCCAAGCGTTAGACCAATACTTGAGTACGCCTCTGTTGTGTGGTCTCCTTTCTATAGGTGCTATGTAGATTCAATTCAATGTGTTCAAAAGCAAAAAGTGTTTGCCCAAAGGAAATCCTCCCTATGAAAATAGGTTACTTCTGCCGCCACTTGAAAAACGTAGATTAATAAATCGTCTAGCGTTTCCTTCTTAATTTAAGTAATAAATGGTACTCTAGATTCCCTCTCTTTTCTAAGCACTTCATCTTTTTTAAGCCTAGTCAATGGAAACACAATTAGGAGCTGTTTAGCTCGCTCAGAGTTGTTCGCAAGAACCTAAATGGTCTATTACTTATTCCCAATATCGGATTCGTTGCAGTCTATTAAAGCAACTTTGCTTAATATACGCGATTTACCTATATCGTACTTAAACTAACTTGCATTGTTAAATTATCATTTTTTTTATTTCGAAAACTAAATAGTGTTGTTAACGTTGTCGGTTACAAAGCTTACGCATAATTGCAATGGTTTAGAGGTTCACTTGAAACCTTGATCTGTTTTTGTTTTGTGCGTGCTGCTGTGCTAGCTGTGTACATGCCTTTTTTTTCATTCTTATTCATTTATAAATGAATTATTATTTACAGTTACTTTGCTTTTATTATTCTTTTTTCACATCTTTCTATATATTGTGCACTAGCTTTTAAAATAATTAGTATAAAATTTACTTTTAAGATTTACTTGAATTCGACTGTTAATTTGGCTTCGTTGAATTTCATGTATAAGTAAGTAAATAGGTAAAAAAAAATGACAGTTTCAGTCGTTCTTTTGGCTCCATAAAAGTTTCGAAGAGTGCACTTTTTGAGTGCATCCATCTGTGGGGTTTGCGTTGGATACAAAGCAAAACCATCTTATTACTTCCGAAGTAACTAGCTTTACAATTAATATAATATACTAATTATTCCATCACATAAAAGTGTCTGACCTTGACTAGATGGTGAAAAATATTACTTTCTCCTACACAAACTTCGACGACTAACGTAGAGCAAATCTCATCAGAATTGGATTCCTTTTTTTCTTTTGTTGCTTTACCATTCCAACTATTAGTATAAAATTTTGAGCATTCTTTTGAATTCATCTGTACACGATTGTGTACGTTTTTATTTTTGTGTATAACCCCCTGAGTACAAGAACTGGGTAAACACATCTTGGATTGTTCAATTTTTTTTTGTTTTTGTCAAACCACTTTTTCTACTACCCAGCTAATTCTTTGTGCATTGCATTGTTAACTCGATTTTTTTTTTCGGATGACCGACAGTGTTTACCACTGGGGTTCATTCGTAGATAACTTGGGAATTATAGTTCCATTTGTAGCAGCATACTTTTGCTCAATCCGTCCACTACTTATTATGAACTATTGTTTATGTCAGGTTGGGCTCTGTGCTTATCTGAAAAGATAAACATTAACTTTGGACGAACATTACTTTTTAATTTGCCATTTAAGACCTCGAAGACTCGAAAAGTCTCCTTTCCTCTCGATAACCGAATATTTAATCCATTCTCCATTTTGTTCTTTGTGAGCAATTTACGATTTCATATTCAGTTTTGTTTATTCTTTTTTTATTTGTATTTAATAATATATTCATAACATATATCTTTTTACATTTGTATCATAAATTAATTCCATTATATTAGAACGTACACTCCGTATTATTATGAGCACACCTTTTTATGATATAAACCACTTAAAAGTTATTTCCATCTTTTGCAACGGTTCAGTGTCTGCAAAACCTCCCTGTTTGTCTGAAAATTAAACTAATGACTTAACAATTTTCAGGACTAATCTTAAGTTGAAGAGGATCGAAGATTGGAGAGACGGGCGAACATGTCACTGCTGAGCCAGCTAGTACGGCAAATATGGGGGTTTTAAATTTTTTTTTCACGGACACTCCTCAGAAGGTTGTATTTAAAGAAATATATATTTTTTAGCTCATAGGAATAAATAGAAACCTACTTATCGAACAGGCAGATCATAAGCCATAGGCCATTCTGCAACCTATCGTACCTACAGTTTTCCTCCGCCCTTGGTTTTAAATAGAAGGCCTCGAAGCTGAGTCCGATAACTCTCATAACTTGCTTTCCTCTCACAAAAAAAAAAATTTTAGCACATTTTTACTTTAGTTTCTTTGTTATTTTCTTTTAATTAATATTACCTTCAACAGCAGAAACAATGTCAATATCTCTACATTAATTAAAAGGGGACGGATTAAATAATTTGTAAGTATATATGTATGATTGCTTAAATTATGCTATATACTAAGGAAATCATATATTTACGTTATATGTAAAATAGATGCCATGAAGAACATTATATGCCGAATGCTGCAGATGATGACATTAATATTAGAGATGACAAAATTAATAGTGAAGTTGACGACGTAATTAAAAGAGGAATTGGAATGTTTCTGAATGAACTGACCTCTTCCTAAAGGACAAACTTCGCAGCGCCATACAATACATATTTTGTTTTTCTATCCATTACGAAATGTAGACTCGAGTTTTAAACATTTTTAAAATGTGAGTATTATAAAAGGCGATATTATTAATATTTTATTTCTTCTCAATATGTCTGATACATTTAACAGAACAACAAATTCCTTATTTAAAATTGGAAAATTAAAAAAAATTTTCAAAGCGACAAAAATTAATTAAAATTCAAATTTATCAGTTTACAAATATAGATCCTGAAGAAGTCTTCTGCTCCAGTTTGCAATTGGACATTACGTTTAAACATATATTTTGGGACTGCCAAAACCTCTCTACAACAAAATACATGAACAAAACGCTTACGACTTTTAAAAACTGAAGGACAGGATAAGATGAAGGATAAAATAAGAAAATTTTATTATGCTCATGTAAGCGAACATAGTGAGGTTTAAATATGCATGTCGGGTGGCTATCGGCAAACTCATTTGAAATCTTCTTTACGGCTTGAATTAACTCGAACTGATTGTTTTGATATTTTTAAGCTATCATCAGAATGCGTTAGTATCGAAACCGAAGGAGCTAAGACCGTCGTGTCTTTGGTGAGACCAAGCGAATAAGGGAGCTTCCTTCCAATGGTTTTTCAAAACCTTCTTACATTTAGGATAATTAAGCTTATTTTAGGTACCATAATCATAACATGCGTTTTTCTGCTAGGCAATTATCAAATCCAGTTTGTGAACAATTTCATATTCAGACATATGATGATTACAAGATTTTTTGAACTTGGATTTCTTCAACCCTTCGGCTAGTAAATCACGTCTCAACATTCTCGCAAATGAGCTCCGAATGTAATTTCAAAATGT